GTTATTAACAAAGTTCGTGTACTCAGACCAGTAATATTTGGGGTCACAGTTTTTGCCATGAATATTTTGTGGGAGAAGATAAAAGGTTTGGGAACGTCTGAACTAAAGAAAAATATAAAAACAATGAAAACATCCAATGTGACCAGAGACACGTCAATCAATTACACTGGACATAATTCAACACAAAATATAAAAAATAGTCTAAGGCTGACACCTCAACCAGAAGAAAAAAATTTATGAAATAATAGGACCAAAAATGTGTAAATTGTAGTACAATGTACTACATACAAAGTTGAAGTGACAATGTCAAAGCATAACTTTTTTAGCACTGAAACATTTTGTGTGTCAGTGCGATGTATARTATTCACACTAGATTTGTAATATTTTGGACAAGTAAACTAGAAAAAAATTTGAATTTCTAAGTTGCTGTTCAAATCCAATATGGAGTTAATCATCCAAACCTGTTTGAGACAGTTGGGTTGAAAAAAAAAATGCAGCTCAACAGGAAAGTCTCAGCATATCAGAGATTACAKCTGCAGCTCTGCAGCAGTTTGAGACCAAACACAAACTACAGCAGCAGTGGAAGTTTCTAAAGGCCACAAATAAAACCACATGATGAGCAAAAAACAACAGATCATTTTAGAAATTTGTTATAGATTAATAGATTATTATGATAGATTAGAAGTAATACATGCAGTCTAATCTACAAGTACACTATGTTAAAATAATACCTTGTTAGTTTAAGAGACATCAATGAATGAAATGTTACATATTTAAACAAAAAACAATAGAAAAAGAAGGCCTCAAGACATAAACTAGTGGAACATTTCCTCATTAAAGCATGAACTTAAATAACAATAAAAAACGAGTGTTTCTACGCGTTACTCACCACAAATTTGAAATATTCCAATCCACAGCGAGTAAAAATGTGTGTTATTGCGAAAGCAAGTTCAGATCCAGGCAAAGCAGCAGGGTGAGGGCCAGTGGACAGGACAGAAGTCCACAGAACAAAAATAAGGCTGCCACTCGGCAGAACGCACAAGACACCGTCAGGACCTTTTAAGGCGAGGGCAGCTTTAAATTTAGACCACGAGAAGGACCTCAGGAGCTGCTGGGCCTGCCGCTCAGCTGCGCGCTGTCTGCACTAAAGTTGGGTCACTTTCATTACTGTCAGAGTCTCAGCAATATGTAAAACTCTGGTTTTTTATTTACATATTTTTCCACTTTGAACACAGTTCCAAGCGTTAGAGACTTGTAGTTAATTCGCACGTAATTCTTTACTTGGACTAATTTATTTCGTGCTGCGAATGATTTTCATTAAACGCGCTGCGCTGTGATGCTGCCACCTAGTGGTGGTAARTCTTTATTACACAATTTGTCGAGTTGAGAAGAAGATTTCATTTAAACCAGGCGATCTTAGTAAATATAAATTGCACTTATACCTCATTAAATCACCATTTATGTTATATGTTTTACAAATAAAATATGTGAAATAAAAATAAAAACAAAATAAGTACCGCCCTATAAATATGGAATATTCCAGGTTGTTGGGTTTCTTCCTGCTCCACTCTGATTGGTCGGTTTSTCCTTCGTCATCCTCCGGATGTGTCGGCGATAGCTTTCTGTTCGCCTTTACGTTTATATATTTTTATTCTTCAGCAGGTGGGTCAATGTTTCATCTATTTTGTTCCGCCTAAACCTTGATAACTGGAGAACCCGCACGTTTTACGTGTTTTAAATCGTTGTGAATTCATCTTAGCTAACATGCTAAAGCTAGCTTGTTATGTAGGTCAAGAATCGATGTGATAAATAAAACGGGTTGATTGGGTTCTATGCTCTGTTGTTGTACTGGAGCTTAATTACAGACCAGATTGTTGTGGTTTATATATCAGCACTGAAAGAGACACTAAGGTTTACCCAGTTTAATGTTGTAAGAATTACCATTAGCAAAATTTACAGCAGTATAACATTTTTTCTGCATGTTAAATCATATGATCATTTAACTTTTTGAAATTGCAAAATTAATGTGACTAAATAAAACGACAACAGAAGAAACAGCTATGAATCAATAAGTGATAACGTGCAATATAAAAACAAGTAATTGTGTTAGATTATAAGACAAAGCAATTTAAAATAAGTAAACAAAGTGATCTTTTTATAGCAATGTGTGCATCTGACAAGTATGTTTGTTTAGCATTAGTGTTTTTTGTAATTAGGCTGGAATAACAGCTTTCAAGCCATTGTTCAATCAACCCATCTACCTGGTTGCACTGTCATTTCTTAATCCTTAAATATAAACAAACTGAATGTGTAGGTTCCGTTGCTTGGCTCGATCYTAATGTCATTTGGCTTCCAGGACAAAAACGCCATCATGTCGAGTAAAAAGGCCAAGGGGAAGAACACCAAGAAGCGTCCCCAGCGCGCCACCTCCAACGTGTTCGCTATGTTCGATCAGTCTCAAATCCAGGAGTTCAAAGAAGCTTTCAACATGATCGACCAAAACAGAGATGGATTCATCGACAAAGAGGACCTGCATGACATGCTTGCCTCATTAGGTTTGACTTGTACATTTAAACGAAGCTTTATTTAAAAAAAAAAAATTGTTTTCATTAAAGTCATATTCCCTGAAGCCTGATTTATGTAGCTACTTTATGATTTTTTTTCTACTTTTCAGGTAAAAATCCCACTGATGAGTACCTGGAGGCCATGATGAATGAAGCTCCAGGGCCGATCAACTTCACCATGTTTCTGACCATGTTTGGGGAGAAGCTGAACGGCACCGATCCGGAGGATGTGATCCGTAACGCTTTCGCCTGCTTTGACGAGGAGGGCACAGGTGAGCGGAGCTTTCTGAATGAAACTGATGTAAAAAAAATAAAAAAAAAGCGAGTTCATTCTGAACACAAGCCCTGTCGTGTCTTTTTCATTTTAATCTACCCTGTTGTTTCAGTTTTACTTCAAGGTGGAACAGTATTTGCAAATATATATTTTTTCCTTTCATGGCATTAAAAACTATTTTGTCTTTACAGGTGTGATTCAGGAGGAGTACCTGCGGGAGCTGCTCACTACAATGGGCGACCGGTTTACTGATGAAGACGTAGACGAGCTCTTCCGGGAGGCGCCGATTGACAAGAAAGGCAACTTCAACTATGTTGCATTCACACGTATTCTAAAACACGGTGCAAAGGAYAAGGATGATTAGTGACAAACACTGTAGGTTCTTAATGCACTACGTTTTAACTTTTATTATTTAATTTAAATCAGCTGTATCCAGTAGTGTGGCTTCTTACAAAGCATTGCTGTGGTTTATAGCTTTTGAAGGTCATTTGTTAAAGCTGCTCTGWGGATCTGGGTTTCCTCTTCCCTTTCCAACTGTTTATTTTATTGTTTTGTTTTTAAAGCTAATTTGCACACCTGTTAAGACACCACTACGGGGTCTGTCTGAGAAAGTAAATACCTAAAAGACCCTCATGAATATAGCTGGAAATAAACTGACACATGGTGTTTTATTGACTGAATCGTTTTTTGTTGTTGTTAGAAATTCAAAGTTTTGAGATTAAATTATGTTCTGAAACAAATCTCAACTTCTCTTTTCGTTGTTTTTCCAGAGGTTTATTTCAAAACGAAGGATACGTCACACAAAGGTTAAAAGACTGTTCATTAAACAGGATCAGATATGAGAGATACGACCAAAGTTTATCTTGCAACTACAAAATAATCAACTGGATGTGGCCAAAAGTGTATGGACTGAGCCTGTTCCAATTAAACAGCTTTGTGCTTTCAAAGCTGTGGCACGGATAGTGAAGAACTCCAAAAGATGTTTTTGAATTGAAATCGCCTGATTTGTATAAATTCATCAGTTTAATCAGTTATTCACACAGATCCTGCTGCCTTGAAATTTTAAAAGAGTCCAGGTTGTGTCAGGAAGAGCATCTGACATAAAACAATTATCAAATGAGCAGATGATCAGTTTTTCTCACACAGGACCTGAACAATGCATCAAGTTTTCAGCTCGTAGATGAAGAACATAAACACACTGTCACTCCTATTACAGAATGTGAACAAAGCCCAGTAGATCCTACTGAAATTGTAAACAAAAACAAACTTGATAACATAAACAAGTGTCAATGATTTTGTAACACATTGATGGGGCGTCCACATAATTTAGGCCACACGCAGTACACTTGGTATAAGATTAATATTGATTGACTGGACTCTGATGTGATGTGTAGTTATGTTGTTGGGATCTACATAATTTCATTATCGACCAAATTACAAGTGGTTTTCCAGTCAGGGGAACATGTTTTTGTGTCTTCTTTTCACAAAATCCTTTCTCTCCTACACATCAAACCCACAATAAATAAACCAGGATCTGCTTCTTACTTGAAGCTCTCTGTCCACTTTGGCATTGCTCACAGAGCAACATACAGTAAAACACAACAACATGAGAGGTTTCATTTTTCTGCCAGAGCCAGGTTCTTCGACTGAATCTTAGACAGGTGGTCTGATATACAAGCCTCGATCCGGTCGCACTGAGCAAGGAAATCCTGTGGGGATCAAAGGATTATGTTTCAGTTTCCATTCTCAACGTTTTTCAACTAAAATACAAAGGTTTAGTTGTCAAGAACATACGAAAACTGGCTAACCTGCACTGTTTTTACGAGTCCCTTTTTTTTTGTTCTGCAGTCAGTAAAATTTTCTGGGACATTCTGTTAAAATAAAAACAGTTTGTTATTTTAAAAAAAAAACATATAAATATAACGCACCTTTGGATATARATAGAAAACTAAAACACATTACCAAAGCATCTATCTGCTCCAAGATCTTCATGAATTGCTCAGCTGCTATTTTTACTCTGTGGTCTAATTTACTCAACGCCTCTGCTTGAAGGTCTTTGGCCAGGAAGCCCTGAGGAGAAACGTTTCCTCAGAATACGTTGGAGGACACAACAATACAACTGTTAAAAGCCACAACTGATTCCTTACATTCTTTAGTCCAGTTAACTCCCCGTCTACGTTCTCCAATTTTTTAGCGGTCTGCTCCACAGATTTTTCGATTTCTTTCAGCTTCTTCAGTTCAGCTTCTTCCTCTGGGCTGTTCTGTTTATAGATTATTGTTAATATCTTTTAGGATATACAGACTCTGGCTAAAGTTAAAACACAAGTAACAACCTTACCCGCTTTCCAATCATCATGAGTTTGCAGCCGTTTTTGATTCCGTAACTGGAAAGGCTCTCCTCCATATCTTTCAGAGACTTTCCTAGAAAGCCAGTAAGATGTTGCAGATATAAACAGGAGAGATTCACACTCAACTTTCAGCTTTACTGTATTGTCGAAGGGAAATTGGCTTTGCGGCCATGTAAAAAGAGAAACACACAAAATCAGCAACAGTCACATCAGTTTAAAAAAAAGATAAAATAAAATTACATTAAAAATATTTTACTAGCGATCTAACCTGCTTTGTCTCCTACTGAAAGTCTGCAGAACCAGGTAATAAAAGCAAACTGATTTATAGAATTGTAGAGGATGGTCATAAACTAACWGCACACCTCAAACTGGTCAGCCTTGTAGAGGAAGTGACTTTTCATAAACACGTCATCATACACAGGTGCACACATCCTCAGTTTTAGTGGCACTTGGTTTTAAATATTGCCACTCACAAAGCAGTGAAATATATTTAATAAAAAAAGTGTATACCTTTAAAGATGAGTTTCTGTGAAGCAGGTGGGACACCAGTTGCTTGACAAACAGCCTCTGATAGGTCTTTAACTTTGGGTCCATTTCCCTCATCTTGGCTTGTCAGAGTGATGCTGTGTTTGGTTGACCCTGAAGGTAGACACAAGAAAATACAGAAATAAAAATAGGGCTGCAACGACTAATCGATTAACCGACGACTAATCGATTATTAAAATAATCGATGACTAATTTAATAATCGATTAATCGTTTTCTTTTTTTTTTTCTTTACTTTGTTTCTCTCTCCAAACTGCTTTGACACCTTCCRCTGCCACATCTGCCTTTCTGT